TATTTCCTTTTCAGACAATCAGATTGTCGATATCGATATAGAAATCGCAAAAACCTTATAAAGGACTTGAGATAGAACCTTTGAAGAGGCATCTTAAAATACAGCGATGTCCAGCGATAGACGATGAGACTCACTTGATTGATTACAACAGTGTATGAATTAAATAACAAGCCGTCCGGCAACCCTTAGTAGTCCTTGCCACAGCTTTTTGAACCTTCATCCATCAACTTACGGGCCATTACACTAGTCTGAAAACCTTGATATACAGTTTTGGACCTTCTGCCATTGACGTGAAGGCCGTTATGGCTTGTCACGCTGCGGAGATAGGAAGCGCACCGCCGGTTCCGGGCCGGATTCGGCCGCTCGTCTTGGTACACACCACAACTCGTGTACGTACAGTCACGGCAAGTGAATTTTCTTTGTAACCGTACTGATATTGTAACATAGAGCTCATAATTTAACAGCTATTATCCTGTGGAAAAATCTAGACATTTCATTACAATAGATAGAAGAGAATTTGTAATAATTTATAAGGTAAGATCAAGGCTTTTAATATTGTAGCCACAGGAAAACGAGCTTAGAAGAAATTAAACTATGAAGATACATTTTGACTTATATTCACAGAATTTCAATGCCTAAAAAGCACTTTTTCATTCATAGCATGTTTTGAGCTCAATGAATATACATATTAGGCCTTTCATAAAACTTGAAATACTCATTTCAAACTCGTTAATATTTTGTTGAAATAAATAAATACAGCATTTATTATGAAATGCATTCATTCCAATTTTCTTATTACAATAACTATACGAATACAAAGTTATTTAATATAAAAACTTCGTGCATATTCCATACACTACCTGCGAGTTATAAGTTTTAACTCGAAAAGTTTGGTTATGCACCCCGCGGGAACAGACACGGCGACAAGTACGCTTTGAGCGTTATCTCTGGGGCGAAGGGTGCCAAGACTTGGCTAAACTTTGTCTGAACCTTGACGGGGCAAAACTATAATTGATGGTTACGATATTGCCCGTATGAGAAATGTATTATTCAGATGACAGCGTGATAATTCTTAGGTACGACTTGTGAATGGATACAATCAACTGTAAAAATAAGATTTTGGAGTTGAAAATCATTAATGGTTGTGAATTAAGTTGCCAAGAATATCGTCATAGCTAGGCTTGTATTGATGACCCACGCTGAACTTTCCCACCAAACTCAATGACAGGGGGGCGCTACCATCGTTCAACTATATGGTTTCCAACATGGCAAAAATCGGAACCAGCGATCCGGTATTGACGGTGGCGCCCCACTGTCAATGTCATGGATAGGACAGTTCAGTATTTTGGAACTATACGAAGTTATAATGAGAGAAGCGACAGCATTTAGGTTTCTACATTTCTTACTAAATTGACTCGGTGAGAAAAACCGATCAAAGAAAGGCTTATCAAGTTAGTACAGTTTGTAAAGATTTCTAAAACACAAATTAATTAAACCGCAGATCATTTACAAACCCGTTAAAACGTCCCTTACAACGAAATACTGCTGGGAAGAGAATCCGGGATAAATGGACCAGGACAGCTGTAGCTCGACTGATCAATCAAGCCCAATCCGCCCGCCCATCCATCAAGTAACAAACCCTGCATTATTGTTGAACAACAGACTCCAAATTCACTCAACACGGTTACAGAACAATGAACTGTATTCGGTAAGTGTAACGTTTAATTTGGGTCGGGACGGCGGATTCGTTAAGGACTGTATCGCTTGATCCGCTGGGAGTTGAGAGGTGAGTTGGCAAATTAACAGCTACGGTGGAAATATTAATAACAGGGATTAGTGGCGTTTAATAAAGATAGTATTTAATTGTTTAGGGAGATAGTAAGTATATTCTAGTAGGTAAGAGTTTTCCTTTTATAATGCTGCATAAGTCTATTAAACTTCTTGCTAAATGTTTATTGCTATACATATATTTAACCTAAGTACCTAGTAGTAACTAAGAATATCATTTATAGTAACAATCAATAAACATCATTAAGATTATTTTAGGAAAGTTGATTAAGATAACATTGTTTCAAAAACTTAACAGTGGTAGGGTTAATACTGGGACGTGTAAAAGTGCTTTTTTTAAGCCTATTTACAGAAATAAATGAGTTTTATGAGTTTTTAGTTTATTAACATTTTCCAATGCTAAAACCTAAGGCTAAAACATATTTCGCGGTTTACTTGGCTTATTAATTCATGAGCTCCGTCCGAAAATATTTCCCTTGTTATTTCTTCTGATAGCGTAAAGAAACTGATAAGGCTTCCTTTTCCGAGAAGTGGGAAATGGGAAGGGCCCAATATCCGACAATCGGTTCCTTATTTAGAGCGGGGACTCCCCCGGCATTCATTTTGAAGTTTGTAAACAATACGCGGCAGTGTTCAATTCATGTAATGTAAGACTGTGTCTTCATTTTAAGCGGACACGACATATTTTTTTGTATCTACGAGTATGTATTGTTGATAGAAGTCTTTTACAGAACATTAAACTTTTCAATAAATTGCCACAAACTGTTGTAGAATTGCCCATTCATAAATTTAAAGCACATATCAAAAGCACCTTAATGAAAAAGGGCTACTATAAAGTTGATGATTATATAAAAGATAAAAATGTTTGGAATGTTTAACTACCTAGCTCGCATCAATACTTATGACTATAATTTGTATATTTTAAAGACTGTAAACCCTTGAAAAGGAGGCTGACAATAGTGACTGAGTTTCTTGCGCTGCTTCTTCTCAGCACTGGCCCATTTATTGTCCCGAATCAGTGGCAGGGTTAATATTGGGACAAGTAAAAGTGCTTTTTAAAAGCCTATTTTTGCAAAAATATATGAATTTTATGAATTTTATTTTATGAACACATTATGCATACATTAGGTACATTAAATACTTCTACTCAGTAAGATTCAAGCTTAAAAATTTAAGGGACCCTAAAGAAAGTTCACTTTATCTCTCAGTTTTATTGTTAGTTTTCCTGCCCTGAAATATCGAACTTTCTTACCACTAGATTACGAAGCCGTACAGTTATTAATTAACATGCTTTAATGTTAATTAATAACTGTACGTCTTCGCACTATTGGTAGTAGAATTTTCTTAATCATTTTCATTTTCCCCGCTGTGCTTGGGGCGCAAGCTTTTAACTTTTTTACGCTTTTTATTAACTTACACAGCCTTTGAAGCTTTTTAGCGCTGGAAAGTTGTTGCGGTGAATGCATAAAGCGTATGCAAAGTTTTATGACTCAAGCTCTCGTATTTTTAGTATGCTCAATCATAAACTATTTCTATGTTACGATAACATTAAGTGCCCCTAAGAAATTGTTCATGTATTTTTATTTTAAAATTACCATTACAATCACTTCATTGAATTGAACAGTTTTAGAAGTAATGTTTTAATTACTACTCGTACTCAATTTTAATTTTACGATACGCCTAAACACACATATAATTTCTTGTTGTTTTTAATCTTTATCCAAACGCCTAGTTCAAAAAGTTTGACAGTCGACTTGGGAGTTCTGAGTTTAATTTTCAAGTGCAAATTGTGATGTATTTCATGAACTTTACAGATCCTCATTACTAGAACACCTTGTATGGAGAAAGGCAAGGTCAAGCTAGAAGAACCCTCTTTACCCCCTGAAGGCAGCTCGCAGCTACGAGTAGAATCAGTTCTATTGTAATCAAGGCGTTGATTGATTGAGGGCAAGTATATTAAACGATGTGAGAACGGTGTGTTGGTGAGGCAGTTACGTAGGTGTTAGAAACTTTAACAAAGGATTAAGGCATTTACTTTGATTTAAACGATTATGAAGTTAGAACCTATTTATTATACGACAGCAAGTACTTATCTGTACATAATACACACATGTAATGATGTCTGTTTATTTATTATCATCGTTAGAAACCAATTGCGAAACCAATTGTTGGGTATGGAGATAAATTGGACTTGGTGAAAAAGTAGATTTTATTGCAAAAAAGGTAAATGGGTATAATAAAGGATAACAGGTTGTGCGGGGATTCTTTCGTTACTCGAATTATGGATATGGAATTAAAATTATTGCTTTTTTAAAGATATTTTTAAGACCAAAGCAAATACTTATAGATCGAAACCATCTCGGGCGAAGCTGCGAACAACTAATATCTACTTTATAAACTTTCTCCCACCTCTTTTGTAGTATATCATCCGCGGAGAAGCGCTTTTGAGGAAAATGTTGGAAAGATCCATGAATATCGTTTACAAATCAGGGTTCGGTATATTTTATTTATGGCTCTCTCGGCCTCAGTTGCTTGACTCACAAAAGGGCAAAGGATAGGGTTCGTTCTTCCCTAGGGTTGTATTTTCATCTAGTTATTATTTGAAGTTTTGATTAAATCAATATGAAATGCACACGTCTAATATTGGACCGAAAAGCTCAAAGAGCTTTCAATAACTGAACAACATGCTTCTCCTCTGTAACATAAAAAATCAAATCTCGAAGTCATCTATATTTAAAAAAGCTAAAGGTCACGGACTGACTGACTGACTCACTCACTCATCACGAGATCTCAGATACTACAAGTGCCAGGAGTCTCTAGCATGGGGTTCCTTTTAGAACGTAGTGGCTCACTAAGAACGGATGTTACGAAACTCCACCCCTAAGAGGGTAAAACGGGAACCACGCGTAAAAAGTCGCGGGCGGCCGCTAGTAAAGAATAAATCTTATGCAAATAATCTCAAAAGTGAAACTGTTCCAAGCCCACCTGTTCATTCTCAAACCGTCGATATTACGTCATCGTAAAGTTCCACAAACGCCCCATTGTGCAATACCCCGTAAGTCAAACCATAAAACCATGCACCTGATTTACCCCTCCCATGGCACGGCCGGGTCGGAACCCGCACTGGCACTGCGCCAACCACCGCTCCGCATAACTGAGCGGTTGCTCGCATAATAAAACGGTTACAAGCCAAAAATAGACTGGCAACTTACTGGCAATTGCAGTTCTGGTTGCAAATGGTGTAATGTACCTGGAATATAAAGAAATTGAGTCACAACAATGTTTGAGCGACAGGATAGCGGTGAACATAAAATTCTGTATCGGTGTTATTTTATTGCGAAACCAGTCGCTTTTCGGCTGAGAGTTATTCTGTTTTAGATAAAAAGATAATATCACAAATCAGTAAATACTCGTAACTAATTTCTCTTTTATATTTGTATTAGGTATCTGTCGACCTCGAAACGTTTTTACGACTAAATGGTCCCATCCCATCCCAAAAGTTAAACAATGCGCCATATATTTTATCACCGGCTTTATTTCTAACATGTTCATTCAAATAATAATTTAGCTAAAATTTGCTTTTTCGTTGCTAAACCTACGTAATATCTGCATAAAGGCTACTTAAAGTAATTCACGAGCCCAGCCCACCGATAGCCCGGGCCTAGACACAGCTTATCACGAAAGTAATTTAGGATGCCGATAACTGATAAGGGAACTGTCACATTGCACGTAAAGTAGGGAAAATATTGCGCCGTATACCTCGGGTATAAATAACCCTTTATGTTGCGGCGTCGCCTGATTAAATGTAAATTAAAATAACCAAAAACCATTGCACAACAATGTATGTATATTACAGACGCGTTATATCCATAACTGATAAATCATGAATAGAAATTTAAATTACGCAAAACAATGTTAAAAAAAGAAGCTAGATTAACGGTATCTATAAGTCTAAGTACACCCTCAATTATTACACCTATACATAAATATATAAAACAGTAAATAACGATAAGAAAACAAAAAGTAAATACCTACTTAAAGATTAAATAAAACAGGTCTGCTTTGTGCGCTTCAATGTCCCATGTACTTACTGCACCTTTTAATACCCCATCGTAACTAATCCATAGCCATAAAATATTCAAACATACAAAGAGTATCAATCAACAGTTGTTACCTTCATAAAGCAACATTTCCAATAAAATCCCGAAGATCAGAATGTCAATAAAAGTTGAAATGTTCGCAGGAAATTCGTTTCGTATTCGATTTTAATCGTCTCTCGACAGGAATATTAAAAATTCTGATACGACCAGCCATTCTCTGAACGAAAATAATATGCTTTGTGATTTGCAGGAAATACTTAATTCATTGCATACCTTTTATGATTGTGGACTGATCCAGCTATTACGTCCAGTTTAGTACCTACCAACTTGATATTTTTCACACATTCAATGGACTAAAAATCTCAAACTACTATACAGTTAAGAACTAATAGTTTTCAGTATTCATGGAATCATTTATTATCTGGCTCATTCAGATCGAATCTGATCAGAGGTGGAATTGTGTAAAGCAATCGTAATCATTTGACAGTTCATAACATAACAGTCAGTTAAACAAAGCGTTTGACAGAATAATCGTACGTTATGAACTGTCAAATGATTACGATTGCTTTACACAATTCCACCTCTGGTTGAGTAACGGATCGTGTCTAGCTTCACTTTATCTAGGGTATTCCAAAAAGCTTTACAACATTTTAACGTCAAAATAAACACAAAATAGAACAGAAACAAAACTGCAGCTACACAGATAAAGTACGGCTCAACTCGACCGCAAAACTACTCGATTCCATGTTTAAACATTCGCTTACAGCAAATTCTGTACGGGTATTATCGTGTACAATACGAATTCGACGTTCACTCGGCGGGAAACGCTGAGCGCTTTATCGAATTCAATTCCATACTCAACTATTTTAACGCTCAGTTATTTTCAATTGAATACTTGTTTCAAATGTGCATAGCCAGCATTTTTAATTAAACTGGAGAAACAATCAACAAACGGCTGCATAGAATTGGATTCCTTTGCATGGGTTTTAATAAAAGTTGGAGGCGGGTCCGGAAAAGTATTAGAATGATATTTTGAAAAAAAAAAAACATCCGAATGAGTGCAGCAGATACTAGATAAAGTAGAGTATACTTTTCTTTTCTATGTATGTAAGTTGTAGATGTATCTCAATTGATAGAAATTGCATACAAACAACCCAAGATTAATGTATAATAAAAACAGTTTTTTTGTCTGTTTCAGGTGTTATTTTAACTGTACGAGTACGTTAAAAACATAAAGTGCTACACTTTTAAAATGCAACCATATTAAGAGAGAATAACTGAGATATTTTAAAATTCAAAGTGCCTCTATGAGACACACTTTTTGCTCTCTGACATCATTAACACTCTCTATTCAAAAAATATATTGAAAATATGCAGAACACGACAATTAGAACCTTTAAAAATCCAGCAACATTCCCGAGGAAAATAACAGAAGCTGAGAGGATTCTCCTAATGATCTGCGTTAGAAACGCGATCTCATTATCACTAAAACATTTTACCTCTATTTTCTCGCGCTATCAAAAAACCTTATCAAAGCGCTTATCACCTAGCTCTCCCCTTTTGCAGGCAAAGGAATTAAGGGACTTTCAGTTGATCTAATCCGAGATTTGAAACCGAAACACGAGCCAAGGCATTATGTAAAGGAGACGAGGGGAAATCAAACCCGATTGCTTTTTTCGTTTTTGTTTCAAATTATTTCGCTCTCCATCCGAAGAAGTACGAACTGTACAAAGGACTGTTTTGAATTATTTATTATTCGAGTATCCTGAGATGCATGCCATTGTTGGGAGAAACAATGCGAGTTGTTTGATGAAGTTTTCAGGAGAATTATTACGCGCACATTATTTAAATATCAAAGCCACAGATACTTATCCATTTCTGGAACATTGTGGGAAACTCAGACGATTATTTGTAACGAGTTTAACCGGTCTACAAAGTTGATATTGTCAGAAAGGTACTCGTAATTACTCGTAAATATTTAGTTGTTGTACATTCAGAAAAATATTTAAATGATTATTTGTTTTCAAATTGAACAGCAAGAGAAAACGATGGCATAAAGTTATTTACAGAAAAACATAAAAATGGTAATTTAATTCGATTTGAATCTAAAAATTCTACACTAATGTCATAATTTGCGTTTAAACTTCCCACATAAATAGCAGGTTCACTTCCAAAGAGCATCGAGTTGAAACGTATAATAGAACAAACTGCTGTTATTGGAGCTAAAACACCATTTTCCATCGAAAACTTTGGAATAATACCTCCGTGGCACGCCACGGGTCGTAGTGCTGGCCATAACCACGTCCCGGCCATTGCAATCCCGCACTTGTATAATTTCGAGATGATAATAATACTCGAGTAATAATATAAAATAAATGTTAGTACCTATAATAATTTTAAAATGTCATATTATTATCATTATTTTGTCTAACAAATATAGTTTGATGATACAACTTGCAAGAGATCATGAATATTACAAAAAGTTGCGATTTGATGAAGATTTAAAACACAGGGTTATTAAGTTAAAGTAGATGCAGAGAAACTTACTACGATAGATAGCTGACACATTTTAATCAAGATTCATAAATTTCGAACCGAACTTTCATAGAAACAATTAGTGACAAGAGTTAACTAACCATGTACCAGTCCCATTCATTGCGTGTGAAAGTTTAAACTTTTTATCGAGATATTTATTTTATGTACGAGTAATATAAAAAAAGGATTGCCACCAATGAGTGGGCACTTATTCTTTTCAATGGCACATTGATACGGGATCTCGGGCCTCAGTTCCCATCCCTAGTTCCGATTCATTCCGCCGTAACTTATGACTATCGGTGATTTGACAGCCACTAACCGATAGTTTAATGTCTCAACTTGCGAAGTTCGATATTGATTCATCGGTGCAACAGTTGGTGGTGATACCCGATTGATTACACTTGAGTAAGTATGTATTATGTTGACAAGTGATCAAGTGGAAATATTGTGATTTACTGAGCTTTTAGTATTCCATGTTTACCATGTGGCCGCCAGCATATACAAACTACAATAATTTGGTTTTTAATGAAAAAGAAACAAAAGACATTAAGGTACACAGACTGCACACACAACCAAGAAGCCAAATAAAACTCTAAGTTCTCATTTCTGTCGCAAAACAAAAAACCTCGTTCTGAACAACTTGAATTTTAAAAAGAACTGCATCTTGAAACGTTCCCAAGTTGCAACTGTGGAATTTTTAAAAACAAATGCAGATTAAAAGCAGCCAGAGCAAAAAGTCCTGGGAAATAGTTCCTGCGGGAATCCCGTTTATTGCCGGGATAATTGAGTTCCCGGGACGGCGTGTACACATTACCCACTTTATGACGCGCAGTCGGTGTAAAAGCTAGGAGTTGCCAACTGCAAGCTCCTAGGCTATTGAGTTCTAAGAGAAAAAATATATTAAATCTGGGGAAGACGACGGGAATAAAGTAAAAGACATCGAAATAGAAAAGACTCTAAAAGACGCCTACTTTTATTGTAGTTATTGACTATAGCAGATATACGGAGGTTACGTCGAACTACAATGCAGATATAAGGAAAAAATGCAACATGTCCACGTAATCCGAATAGTGCTACGAAAATCTAAATAACATACTTGAAACTATTCCCACATCAACAAATTGAATAAGCTTACGTCGCACTGCTACGAAAGCTGGGTTCAACACGGCTACGAAACTGTAGCGCCGTAGCATTCTGTAGCAATGCTACAAGACTACGAAACTGACTAGTGACGTATCGCTACGAGCAAGTTAACGTAAGTGCCGGAACTGAAATCTCTGACATTTTCCGGGGTTCCGTTAATACTGACGTATTTCCTTATGTGTGTCGGTTGAACGTACAACTTACATGAGAGGTGTTGGAATTGATATTTCACAGAAATGTAATAGTATTTCTCCGTCTCTGCAGTTATGCGGCATTGAATTGTTGCACAAATACAGGTACAAACAATTTCTAACAAATGTCTATACTGGACTGATGGCAAATTACTTTCCATGTAAGTATAAAAATAATTAAACCAAAGGAGAGTCATAATTAAATAAAAATATCTTGATAATTTTACTGTTAACGCTGGTAAGCTCTGCTATCATAACTTTTCACCTAAAAGCACTTTAACTTT